TTTTTTTTTTTTTTTTTTGGGTTTTCGAGACAGGGTTTCTCTGTGTAGCCCTGGCTGTCCTAGAACTCACTCTGTAGACCAGGCTGGCCTCGAACTCAGAAATCCTCCTGCCTCTGCCTCCCAAGTGCTGGGATTAAAGGCGTGTGCCACCACCGCCCGGCTTCTTTCACTCATTCTTGTTCATCATCGCTTTGTCTGCCTCTCTATTAGACATCACTTTCAAATATGGCTACTTCCTTCTACAAACTAACTTTACCTTCATTGTTTGGAATTAAAAGTGTGCACTAAAGGTGTGTCTGTAATCCAGCCAGACGAATTAAAGGTGTGTCATTCCAGCCTGATCACACAGACAAATGTGCTTCCTTGCTCAGCAGCTGTGTTGCTGGATTAAAATTCCTCTACAACCACCCAACTCTGGAAGCCTGAATAGTTAGTAAGCCTGAAAAGTGTATGAGGGCATGGAGAAGCTCGTCTTAGAAAGCTGGCAGCCTCTCCCTACACTTCAGCAAGCAGGGACTTTAGCCTAGCTTTATTTGCTTAAACTGTTAGTTGACTGGCAGACCAGCGTTTATAATTAGTCAGCTTTCACTTCTGCCTCCGCACCAGGACCCTCGCTGGGTTCTATCTATATTCTATTCCTCTTTCTGACTTTCAGTTTATTAGTCTATAATTAAGAAAGCTGATGCAGTGGTTCAAAGTCCCTTTCTACAGGAACCTTCACAAAGCCAGCATGATCTCCACACCTGGAGTCTGAACTCAAGTGAAGACCTTTGCTGAAGCTTTGGAGATTGCCCAGCAGAAAGTTAACTTTTGTTTGTTGTGGGGACAAAGTCTCACTATGTAAACCAGGTTGGCCTTGAACTCAGAAGATCCACCTGTCTCTGCTTTCTGGAGTGCTAGTTTAAGTATTTTGTTATTAATCCTTTAAGTTGACGATCCGGCAAAAGGATTGTAGAACTAGACAGACTCAATTTTCAAACAAAACACTTGAAGGTGTGGCCAGGAGATAAGGATGGAATTCTGGGACAGATTCTTCTTTGTTAGCATCTCTGGAAGAGTTCAGCAGGATTAGGAGACACTAACAAGAAGCTGTGGCTCTTTCCTAACTGGTAAGTACCGTCTTCTGCAGGCTTGTGTGGAGAGAAGCAATGAGGAAAGTGCTCCTTGGAGGTTCTGTAACACGTGGTTTTGCATTTGAGATGGTGTGGGATTCTGTGTGGGGCATTAGGACAACTTAATACCCAATAGAAATCTTCGGATTCTTGGAAGGTGGATGGACGCTAACTTAAATGGAATAATGGACTTTTATAGATGAGCTATCAAAGCCTTCTTAAATGAAGTTAACATGAGATATAAGAAGGAAACTGTAGAAGACGATAGTCTGGTACTGTTAAACTGAGCCCTATAAAGTTAGGCCTGTATCTATACCTTCAAATTGACTTCTGGAATTTAAGGTTTTGTGTTAGGTTTTTGAACTTGGCAAGGCCGGAAGTAGAAAAGATTTGCTTTAGTTGGAGTGTTGAGACAGAAGCATGTGACCAGTCTGGAGGGGGGGGGTGCACCCATTAGACCTTGGTGTACATTTGGCACATTTTTTTTAAAAAAATGATTTGTTGCCCGGCAGTGGTGGTGCACGCCTTTGATCCCAGCACTTGGGAGGCAGAGGCAGGCGGATTTCTGAGTTTGAGGCCAGCCTGGTCTACAGAGTGAGTTCCAGGACAGCCAGGGCTACACAGAGAAACCCTGTCTCGAAAAACCAAAAAGAAACAAAAACAAACAAACAAAAAAAACAAAAAACCAAACGATTTGTTTTTATTTAATGTGAATAAGTATTTGTCCACATGTATGTCAGTGTGAGGGTGCCAGTTCTCCCCGCCCCCCAGAACTGGAATTACAAACAGTTGTGAACTGCCAGGTGGGTGCTGGGAGTTGAACTTGTGTCCTCTGGAAGAGCAGCCAGTGGATGGAACCACTGTTCCATCTGTTCAGCTCCTGGATTTCATTTTCCTTTAAGTGTTGGGAAAGATATTTAGAGAAAAGCTTGAGGAGATTTTTAAAATGTATACATTTATGTTGAGAATTGGTATACTCTTTCGCCAGAATGCAGCTTCTTGTATTCAGGGAACTCCATCCTCTTTGTCTGTCTGTCTGTCTATCTGACCTGGTATTTTCCCTCACTTCCAGCTGCTATAGGGTAATTGTGCTTTCACACTTCAAAGCCCCAAAGCTTTGTTCCCCCACCTAACGTGTGAAGTTTTTAAAAAAAGCCATGAGTCAGTCAGTGCAGGAAATACATAATGAACTCTCAGTAGGATTTTTACAACACAGACCTCAACGCCCGCCGTCTACCACTGAGTTCTGAGATTACAGGCAGTAACCGCTGTAACTGGTTCTTACCATCACTGTATTTGAGACAGGGCCTCTTGTGTGTCAGGATTTCCTCAGAATAGAAGCTTTGCTGGGGATGAGCTTGACCTTCTGATCCTCCCTTTCCCAGTTGCAAACACCTCCAGACCCTGTTTATCTGATGAGGAAGCTTGAACTCAGAGCTTCCTGCTTGCTAGGCAAGCTGCTCATTTTTATCAAAAACCAAACAACATAAAAACAAAAAAAAAGTAAGAAACCCTAATTTTAACAGATTGGCAATCCCAACACTTGAGAGGTAGTAGGGAAGGGCTTAAAATCCAACTGAGCTACAATGAATCAGAGGCCAGCATTATTTATTTATATGGGTTTCTCTGTGAGTCCTGGCTGTCCTGGAACTCACTCTGTAGACCAGGCTGGCCTCAAACTCAGAAATCCGCCTGCCTCTGCCTCCCAAGTGCTGGGATTAAAGGCGTGTGCCACCACCGACCGGCCCAACATATATCTTAAAGTAAAAAAGATCAAACCTGGGGCTGGAGAGATGGCTCAGTGGTTAAGAGCAGTGACTGCACTTCCAGAGGTCCTGAGTTCAAATCCCAGCAACCACATGGTGGCTCACAACCATCTGTAATGAGATCTGACGCCCTCTTCTGGTGTGTCTGAAGACAGCTACAGTGTATTCATATATAATAAGTAAATAAATCTTTAAAAAAAAAAAAAAGATCAAACCTTTTGATTATGGCCTGCTTTTGATCGTGGTCTCTTTCCATTTGAGTGTGCATGATTGTGTGTATGTATATATAACTTTAGTTATATAAAAATACAGACTCTTCTCTAAGGTAGCTATAAAATAGGTGATTTTGATCCAAGTTTGAGTGACCATGGGGACATCAGATAACCCTGAGTGACATTCCACTATGGAAAGTTTATATGAAGTTCATTTTATTTTGCAATTATTTATTTATTTGTGTGTGTGTGTGTGTGTGTTGCAATAGCATCTTACTATGTAAAGCCGGCTGATCCGGAACTTCCTATGCAAATCAGACTGACCTGGAACTCATTCCTTTGCCTTCTAGTTCTCCGAATGAAGGCATGTGCTACACCATACCTGATTCTTTTCTGTTTGTTGTATTCACTTTTTTGTATATTTCCTGGAGATAGAAACAAGGCTGTCTCTGCCAGTGAACTCTAACTCCTGCCATCCAAACTCATTTTCCCATGTTTTATTTAGAGACAGGGTCTTAAGAAGTTGCTCAGCTAGCCTAGACAGGCATTAAGATCATGATCCCCCAGCCTCAGCCTCCTGAGAAATTGGAGTTACAGGCCTGTACTTCCAGGCCCAAAATGAACTTTGACAATCCCAGAAATGAAAGTCAAGGATCAGAGTGTGTACAAAGCACAAAGGTAGGACTGGTTGTGTTGGGTCATGCCTACAATCCCAGCATTCTGAGGCAGGAGGATCTCTATTTGTGAGAGACTAACCTGAGAGAGAAAGAGTTCCAGGTCAGCCTGGGCTACAATGAGACCCTACCAAAGTAACAGAGTAAAACAATAAATTAACCAATCAAGCAACCACATGGGTGGGTCATGAGGTAGAAGCTACAGTGAGGCAAAGGGATTTCTGGTCAAGAGATGTTTATTGCCTTTCCAGCCTCAGAGCAGTTGAAGCTAGCTGAAGCCAACCTAGGCTATATTTCAAGTGTTATCTAAAAGTTTAGAGATGGTTAAAAGCTGATCTCAGTAGCTAATGGCTACTCAAAGATCTAAGATACCATGAGATAAAGTATTCTATCACTCTACCATTAGCATATCAAGGTCTTAGGTATCTTGATCCCATGATTCTGCTTAGTGGTCAGCTGCTTAGAGCACCTCAGTTCACAGCACCTTAAAAGTCTTCTGGGTTTCCAGCTATTCCTTGCTCTCTTTTTCCTTGTATTCAATGCCTTGTGTTTATTAGCTCTTATTTTTGCAGCCCTGGCTTGGAAACATTGCCCATGCCTGTGAATTTGTCTGCCCTGACATTCAGGACCCCCTTGTCTTTATGCTCCTCTTGCCTCCTTGGGCTGCTTATGGCTGTGTAGGCACCTCTTCTCTGTTGCCTTTTCATAGAAGACCATCCCCAGGAGGACCCAGGGCCTTGCCTCAGCACAAAGAAAGCCTCAGCAAAGGCATTCCCTTCAGCATAATTTCTCCCAGAATACCTAACACAGGCTTCTGCCTTTCAAAGACCATTTGTAAGCCAGTTCTTCCCAAACTCTACGTTTAATGCAGACTTTCCTTCCTTATGTGGTCCCAAAGATATTTCTGGCTCAACATGACAAAAAACCCAGATATCTCTTCCAAACCCTGTGGTGGGAGAGGCTCTTCCCTCCTCTGCTGATAGCCCCTCTCCTCATGCATGGCTCAGGCTGAGTAACTAACTCATCCCCTGCAGACAGACAGCCTACAGGAAGCCCACTTTGCTTTGCCTTCTGAGCCCACAGAGAATCTAGCAGTTGAAAAGGCTTCTGAATGTACATGTGCATAAACACAGAGTCACACATATATACACAGAATTTTAAATGATCATGAAATTAGAAAGGTAGAATTATAAGATAATCATATTTGGTAGAGCAAACCACTATCATACTAAAATTTTACTCATTTCACATTTATTACATAGCTATGATATTAATACAAATGATTGTATGAATTTTGTATATAATGATGAATTATATATATATATACATATACATATACATATATATATATATATATAATTGTATATACATGGTATGTACATTGCATATACTAATGGTCTCTTAAAGGTTGTATCTACATGGACAATTAATACATTAAGAAAATTGTGTAAACATTTGACAGAGATAGGTAAGAGAGGATAAAGAGTCCGTGCCCAGTCACTCAGGGCATAGGTCTGTGCAGACTCCTAACCATACTGGATGGACAAGTGATCAGAGTGGGGAGAAGACCAAGGAAGCATCCAGCAAGCTTCGGAAGCTTCGGCGGCAGTGCTGGAGGGGTGTGGGTGCAATCTTAGCCTGCTCTGTCAGACTTAAGTGCACTTTCTACTACTGTCACACAGAAGGTATTTGAGCAAAGCTGAAGAAGGATTAGCCAGCCAGAAAGAGCTATGAGGGGAGAAGAGAGAGAGAAGGCAGAGGTCCAGATGCAGGAGAGTGCCTGTGGCAGGGAGAGGGCAGGGCAGCTGGGACAGTGAGGAACAGCAATGGAGAAGAACAGGGGCAGGGCAGGGACAGGGCTCAGGAGCCACATTGTGAGGTCTCCTTTTCCCAAGGACACAGAGAGTCATTGCTGGGGTGTGGTGGTCCCTCTGAGGACTGCTGTGACTGTTGGGCTGACAAGCAAGGACACCTGAGAGTGCTTGCAGGAGTTCCCTGTGGAAGAGACAACAGAGAGAACATGGTCAAAGAGCTAAGGGTGGTTGCGAGTCACATCGGTGCTGGGAGCCACACTGAAGTCCTCTGCAGGAGAAGTAGTCCCTCTTTACTGCTGAGCCCTCTCCAGCCCCCATGTTGACAATTTTAATGTGAATAGTAAGTGAAGGGAAATGGCTGGCTTACACAGCAGTCAAGGCTGGCAGGCAGATGGCAATGGGACATAAAGAGACCATTCTGTAAGGGATTTCAGAATTCTGGTTATGGATGGAGGCCTAGCATAAGCTGCTGGAGTTAGGCTACAGTGGAGTACACACAGTGAGTACCTAGTAGTACAGGGGGAGCAACGGGACATTGTCTTGGGTGAAAATAAACTGAATTCAAGCAGGTAGACTATTTCAGAGAAGGCTGCAGTGAGCAAGCACAGAGACTCCACTGAGAGTGTGCTCTGGCTGGATCTTATACCCACTTTCCTAAGAATGAGCTCTTTAGTAAGGACCTGGGAATTCAGTGATGGTCACTGAGTCCTGTCACCTCACAGTGCTCCCCTGCAGGTGGTGAGTAACCTTCAGGGGAATGCCAAAGTTGACCCTAAAATGCAGTGACTCAGGAAGCCTGCAATGCTCAAGTTAACAAAGAAAAATTCCATCGCCCAGGGAGAAGGCTCAGGGGAGCAAAGTGCCAGGCCAGCCTGACAGCTGAGTTTGATGAGGAATTCTCCTAAAGGTGGAAGGAGAGGAACAACTCCAGAGAGGGGCTTTCTCCCCTCCTCATGAGTTCCACTGCATACACACATCCATTCCCAGCTAGGAGGAGTCAGTGTATTACAATGGTAACAAAACAATAAGACATTCTGCTGTACCGTGTCCTCTGCAGATGTTAGGGTTCAGTATCTGGTCTTGTGGGAGCCCACGGGGTAGTGTGGGGAAATTCAACCCTGAGGATTTGGTTATGTGATGCCTCTGCTCCTCAGCTCCCACCTTCTTCACATCCTCATTGCTGAGGCAATCTACCCTCCACCTGTTCTCTTTCAGCTATTAACCTGTGCTGTCATGTGCTTTGTTTTACATCTTTATTTTTTTCCTCTTTTGTATGTAGCCCAGGCTAGCTCAGCATTGACAATTTTCATTTCAGCCTCCCCTATGCTAGGAATATAGAAGTTTAACATCAGACCTGTTTTACAGTTTGATCATCACTTTATTGAACTTCGCTTTGCTGTATAACATTGGCTTGCTTAGTACTTAGTATGTAGTCCAGGCTGCCCTTAAGCTCATGGCAATCATTCTGCCTCAGCTTAATGAGTGCTGTGCTCGCAGATAGGCACCATCATTCCTGAATCTCTCATGCTTTAAGTCAAAGGTGATGCAGGGAGAATGTCTGAGACATTTAAGCAGGGGTCAATAAGAAAAGAGAAAAAGTGATGGCTGTGGGTTAAGGAAGAAGAGACAAGACAGAACACAACCTGGAAAAGACCTGAGGTGATGAATTGGGAAGGAAGTCCATGTGGCCTTGGGACAGGTGGTCAGGACAGCGAATCTGAGCCCTAGGCAGGGACCAGATAACAGGGGCTTTACAAAAGCTCTGGACAAGAAATTTGGCACCTGCTCCTCGAGAGAGCTATGAGCTGGGTTGTCAGTGGGACACGCCATGGTCTGATTATATATACATTTACCATCTGTCACATTGCTTGTGAATTTGTTAGTTGTTCACTTACCCATCCGTGTAAGCTGCTTGCACAATTCTGGATATTTTACATCCTCTTTAGTGTGACTCATACTCCTCCATCCTCAGATTATTAGTAATAACCGCATTGAAAAGAAATCTGTTCAAAACTCCTTCTGATTGACATTGATATTTGCCTGGCCTAACTAAGGCTGTAAAACCACTAGGATGGACACATTTTGGTGTTCAAATGAATAAGATGTGTTTCAAATCCATGTGATACTCTTTAGCATTTGTTCTCCTATCTTTTGACAATGTAAAATTGAGCCAACTTTTGAGCCCATGAAATGGCTCAGCAGATAAAGGTACTTGCCACCAATCCTCAGTTCAATCCCCAGGGCCTGTTACAGAAAACCAGTACTTCCTTCACATAGGTGTCCTCTGACCACATGTGTGCCCTGGTATGTTCATACATTGCATGACACAAAACTATTTACATGTAATCTTTAAAAATTATAAAAATATAGCTCTTAATCTGAAGGAAATAGGGATTATTGCGACCCAACATGGAGTGACTGGGCTCAATAACTTGATGTAGGCTAGTTTATCATGAATGAATATCAGGTTCCACTGTGGAAGAGGTCATGTGAATTTTCAGTCCTATGGGAAAAGTAAGCCATAAATCAATGCATTTTCAAAGTAACCTGTTAGGAACTTCAGGCAGGTGAAACACAGCAGAACCTCTCTCTCTCTCTCTCTCTCTCTCTCTCTCTCTCTCTCTCTCTCTCTCTCTCTCTCTCTCTCTCTCTCTCTCTCTCTCTGTCTCTCTCAAGGTTTTTTGATGCAGGGTTTCCCTCTGTATCCCTGTATCCCTGGCTGTCCTGTAACTCACTGTGTGGACCATGCTGACCTCAAACTCAGAGGTCTGCCTGCCTCTGCCTCCATAGATCTGAGATTAACATCATGTACCACCACCACTCCACCTGAAATCTCTTCTACAGATTTCAGACCTTCTGAAAGTCTTAGCTTCAGGGTTGGTGGAAGCTAGCTGTGTGCAAATGTAACTGTACATGTCAGAAATTGTTCTGTCTGTCACAAGGATGTTAGCTGAGATGCAGGGGTTGGTAGCAAAAGGCTACTGAGGGGACAGGTGGGAATTGATGCTTGTTATGACTCTTGAAACACAGAGTTCTATCCCTGCACAGTCTCCCTGTAGGATCTCCACAGGGGTGGCTTCAACAGGGAAACACAAACTCAAGCTCTGACGATTGAAGTGCACTAAAGTATTCTTTTCAAACATGTAAATACAAAAATAAAAGGATTCCAATCAACCAGCAAGATGCTTACTTCATGGTAGATCTCACCTAGTCACTCAGTTGAGTTCCAGAAAGTGAAAAGGTTACGTCTGGGAACATAAAAAGCCATTAACCATCACTGCCTGTTCCCTTCCTTTTATGAGAGTAGGCCATAGGTTTCCCTGTGAGACATCTCAGTGAGAGTTATTTCATCTCAAGATGGTAGCCAACTCTGTGAGACACTGAATGTCCATGTCTATGACCCTACCTACCACAATAGAACTCTTAAAGGGACAGAATGGTTGGTACCATGTGCTGCAAACTATTTTTATATGCAAAAGTAAAATAGTTGTGTCTTATGTGGATTTTATATGTTCTAAAGTTGTCTAGTGTCCATTAAAATTCTCAGTGTTGGTCACCAGTTTGCAGCATTAGTTTTCTGATCTCCTAAATGCAGAGGCTGTTCCTGTGATTAGTGCAGAACCCCAGGCCTGAATGCTGAGCTTATGGTGGCTTCATGAAAGCTAGTACTATCTTTAAGACTGGTAACAGCCTTCTTTCCTCTCTGACAGGAAGTCAGAGAATCTCCTAACCAGAAAGGAAATTAATGATGTACTAGTCAGGCTTACTCATGTTTTTACGGTTTAGTAATTAAGAAGCACAAGCTGAAATCTAGAACTTGGACTCTGAGGACATGTAACATCCTCCATAAATGGGCTTAAAAGTAGCTGCCCTAGGGGTTCCTTGAGTATTCGGTGCCTGTGAGTAAATAGCTCAGGGTCTCCTTCACAGCAGATGCTCCAGGAAGCTGAGTAAACTTTCCTGCTATTTTACCTAGGAGGAAATGTAGCTGTAGAGAGCTCTGTGGATGGAAGGTTTGGGTCTGTATCCAGTGCTTTTCTAGGTATCGCTAGACATCCCCTGGGAAGAGGTGGTCTCAGTCACTATGTGTGGGTACATTCTAGCTCAGTCCATCTTGTTGTGTTTAAGATAGTTGAGGTTTGGGGCTGGAGAGATGGCTCAGCGGTTAAGAGCACTGACTGCTCTTCCAGGGGTCCTGAGTTCAAATCCCAGCAACCACATGGTGGCTCACAACCATCCATAATGAGATTGGATGCCCTTTTCTGGTGTGTCTGAAGACAGCTACAGTATATTCATAAATAAATAAATAAATCTTAAAAAAAAAAAAGATAGTTGAGGTTTAGGGACCAAACAGTATGGCTCTGAGCAGAAACTTTACTGTTTCCATCAGAGGACAAGTGCATCTTTGCCATTAGAAGGCTGGTCTTGGCTTAGAGTTCTACCCAGAGCACACACTCTAATGTCTGCCCTCAGTTTTCTCTGTTTGTTTTCTTATTTGTGTCCTGGCTGGAAGTCATATGGATGGCTCTGTGAGGAAGGACCAGGAAAGAAGAGTATGTTTGGGAGGACAGGGTGCCCTAGCAGAGAGGCCTGTGGGATTCACACAGTCAGGATGACGACCTGATCAGACATTGTGTGCTGAGTGCCACAGCTAACCAGAGTGTCTTGTCATTGTCTTTCAGGTCAGTACCATGAAGCAGCTTCAAGTCTTCATTTTGGGGCTCATACTGCTTCTCCCAGGTAAGTAAGGTGATGGCTGGGGATGCTGAGAAGGCTAGAGGTGGCAGAAGAGATGACAAGCCTTGGGCTGGTTTGATCATGAATTATGTAGTGAACAGAGAGTCAGGATAAACTGTAGGTTCCACTCCCTTAACATATATGAGTTTTAAAGCTGGTGGCTAAATAAACATGATCCCCGGAATATGTAAGGCAAGAAGTGCATGCATGTGAATGACAAGCAATCATGGGTACACACGCAACTATTATTGAGTATACATGCAGGATGACTAGGCAAAGTCAGTCTTCATTACATTTCTTTGTGCCTTTTTATTTATTTAAACAATTATGCAACTTCAAAACATTCTAATTTAAAACAGTCCATTAAACAGGCAAAAGAAGGAAAAACATAATTGTCTTTAACACAGGGGATGTTAGTCCAGGCTAGCCACAGATTCCATAGGTTGCTGAAGATCAGTTCAATCTTTTGATCCTCCTGCTTCTAAGTCCTAAGAGCTTAGCTAACTTATGCAAAACGTAATATATTTCTATGACCTAATTAAAGTAACATGTATTTACTTGTGATTCAAGGAAAGGTATTTGGCAAAATCAAATAATGAGTGTCCCAATAAGAAATATACTCATTTTATTCAACAAGAAAAGTACTTTCTCATATCATTTAAAAACTCATAGCCTAGGTCTCCATATAGACGATTAATGAGTCTCATGATTCATTGTTTTGTAATTTTGGCACTTTTTTTTTTTCTGTGCTGGGAATCTAACAGGAGGGGCTAGCCTAGACTAGCCAAGCATTTTATCATTGAGCTACAACATCCACCCTCAGAGTTGCTTTAGAGGCCACCTTGGAAGCTATTGGTATTAGGAATTTTATTCCATCATTTTCATCATTTCTATTTAATTACTTCAGTTTTCAAAATTGCATCATCAAGTGATTGGTTGTATATTCGCTAACTATGTTGTCTTTCTTTACAAGTGTGTCTTGTTCAATTTCTGGGGATGTCACCAACATGTAAGAAGGGATCACCACTTAGAGAGAATAAGTTGGTTTTGTGTGTTTGTTGGTTTGTTGTTTTACAAAGGGCTAATCATAAGGTCTAGATTAAGCCTCAGCCCTTCCTGTTAATGTCCTAAAATCCTTTCTGTTAGTTCACTTTGAAGTTACTAAGGTTCTGTCATAAAGCCAACAATGCTATATAAACAAGGCCTTGGCCCTGCTCTTTGATTGGGTGATGTGGGGAGAGGGTCAGTGATTCTGTAGTCTTTAGCACTGTGGGGGACCAGAGGGGATGGGTTGCAATAGGGTCTCCGAAGCTTAGACCTGTCTTGAACTCATTAGTCAGGTGAAGCTGGCCCTGGATTCTTCATCTCCTGCCTCTACCTCACAGGTTCTGGGAATACAAGGGAGTTCTGGGTACACAAGCGTTACGCATGTGCCCGACTTCTGAAATAAAAAGTTTTAAATGTATAAAAATAAAACATTTGAGCTGCTCTCTGTGGCCCATCACCACAGAGATGGGAGTCAGGTGGGAGGATTTTGATTTTAAACCAGATGAGGTGTATGGCAATACCCCATGTCCAAAAGAAACACACACACACCGTAGAACAAAAAGGAGACAAAAAGAAGCAGGGTGAATATCATGCCACAGAATAAGATGTTTTATTTACATGTGTATCTACCAAGTAATCACACCGAGGAAGACTGTGCCAACAGAAAAGATGTTTAGAGTCTCCAAATTCAAGCTGTAAAAATGGGTCTTTAATATAGGAGGATATGGGAGACAGAGGCAGCAGAGCTCTGGGAGTTTGAAAGTCAGCCTTTCTGCTGAAAGTTCCAGGCGAGCCAAGGCTACAGAGTGAGGCTCTGGCTGAAAAGACAAAGCAAGAACAAAAATGAAGTTGTAATTCCTTGTATGCCCCCAACAAACACACAGGTACACACACACACACACACACACACACACGCACGCACGCACGCACGCACGCACGCACGCACGCACGCACACGCACACACGAAAACACCAATGATAAGGAAGGGCTGGAGCTGTTCAGCACTTCTCTTTCATAAATTCAATTCCACTCAAGTCTCCCATTCCATACTTTTTCTGAAATGAATTAAAAACAAAAGCTTGGGAAAATGTTGAAAACTAACTCTCCCTCTCTATTCCTCTCTGCGTCTAAAACCACAGGTGCTGTGGATTCTTATACAGTAATACAGGGGCTGGTAGGTCACCCTGTCACACTTCCGTGTACTTACTCGACACACCATGATGGAAGCGTACCGGCGTGCTGGGGCCGAGGGGAATGCCGTCATTCTTATTGTATAAGGCCGCTTATCTGGACCAATGGAAATAAGGTCACATATCAGAGGAGCAATCAATACCAACTAAAGGGAAATATTTCAGAAGGAAATGTATCCTTGACGATAGAGAACACTGTTGTGAGTGATGGTGGTCCCTATTGCTGTGTAGTGGAGATACCTGGAGCGTTCTATTTTGTGGATTATTTATTGGAAGTTAAACCAGGTAAGTTTTCTTTATTTCTCACAAGTGAACTGAGTCCTCTATTCTGTAACTATACCTTAGGACATTAAAACACCCTTTTCTCAACACTGTAAGACTGTGACTGCTCTACCCTGAAAAGCAGGCTATGCAGGTGTTGCTGTGCAGATGTGCTGCCTTCAATAATGGTCAGCTGACCTTCTGAGCACAGGCCACAGGTGTAGGTGGAGAGTTCTGCTGTCTTCCCTGTCTTGCTTTAGGTTTTTGTTTTTTGTTTTTTTTCTTTGGTTTTTCAAGACAGGGTTTCTCTGTGTAGCCCTGGCTGTCCTGGAACTCACTCTGTAGACCAGGCTGGCCTCAAACTCAGAAATCCGCCCGCCTCTGACTCCCAAGTGCTGGGATTAAAGGCGTGTGCCACCACTGCCCAGCTAAATTTAATTTTTAAAACTATTTATTATTATTGTGTGTGTATGTTTATATGGTATGTGGCAGGTATACACACCATGATGAATTTGTCAGAGAGCAAACTTGTAGAGAGAATAGAGAGTATGTGGAGTTCTAGGGACGTAAGTTGAGTGGCCAGGCTTGCAAGTGAAGTGCTTCTACCCATGAATCTCCTTTTCTGGCTGCCTGTGTATTGATTGGCTGACATTTTTGGTTTGAGACTGGGCCTTGGGTTGTAAATCGGGAAGACCTGGAGTTTCCTGCCCATGTCTTAGCCTCCTGAGTGTTGGGATTATAGGGATGATAGGAATGTGCCCATACACCCTGTCAGGGTGAGGCCCATTCTGATGGAGCAAACAATGACTCGCAGCTCTATGTTTGGAGATGATTTAGGGAAGCCAGATGAAGCTGGTCATAGAGTGTGCAAAGAATGACTTATGAGGCAGCATTGGGGAAAGGTTCTGAAATAAGGTTCTGAGCATTCCCTCACCTCACAGATGTGAAACTATAGGACTTAGCTGGCTGAAGTTCAATGACTCTGGCCTCCACGTAAGAATGAACCTATATTCATCACAGACACACAGACACACACACACACACACACACACACACACTACAAAAACTAATCTCTAAAAAGAATGCCATTGGGAATGTAGAAATTTGTCTAGTATCCCTGAAGCCTTAGGTAATGTAGCTAGAACTCCAAACAAAAAAATAACAAAGTAGGGGGCTGTGTTTGGGAATCCTAAACAAATTATAGAAAACATTGTAGCTTGAGAAGGTGCTTGTCAAACACATGCTTACATATCTCCCTGGCCTTAGAGAGCCAACACCAGAAGGAGAATGGGCATAAATAACATCATAGTATTACACTATTAATTTCAGTTAATTAATTGAAGCTTTTATAAACCTTAGAAACTCGCTAACACACCAGTGCTTACAGAGCCACTGTTGACCATTCATCCAGTGAGTCCATTATCGAGCCAGCAGCTGATTTATCTCAACAACCATATCTAGATTTTCTCAAGGTTTAACCACATTGAGCTTCTTCTTCCACTGTCATAGGAACCCCATCAGCTCCTCTGTACTTTCCCGCCTACCTGGGAGATAAATGCTCGAGAGCAAGAAAAGAAAACTCCTGTGCTGGTTGCTTCTTTCCTGGGTTTTGTTCTCACAGTGATCATCTGACTAGATTTTCTGCAGGCTTCCTTTACTGTCCAGGGAGGGTTTGTATTATGCTCTAGCCTCTGCCCATATATTGGATTGGGTCAGGCAACAATCCAATAGCCTAGGGCCAGACTAGGTTATTAACAGACCTATGAATAGATGTATAGCAACAAAGACACAAAGACATGAATAAATAAATCCCTAGGCACAGTAGAAACAATGTAGCTTTTATTTTATTTCAAAATGAAAACACACTGGATTAAGGAATTTCACTGTATCCCCCACAAAGAAGAGTTTCAAAGCAACTGTTGCTTGTTCCCAAGGTTGTAGTTTGTAGGTAGGGCAGTGAACACAGGCAGGTTACTTACAGGGACCACCTGTCTGCTGACACAAAGGAGCCTGAGTGCCTCCCTGACTATTTCCTTCCAGCACCATTTTGCCTCTGCTCCATCTCTGCACACTGAGACCACCAGTAGCTGTTTGGATGCTACCATCGAGTCTGATGCTGTTGGTTTGTGAGCTGCAGGTTGAACATGCCTTATCTAAAGCTCCCAGTCTGCACTGCTCCAAAATCTGACACCTTTTGAGCATGGATTGTTAATGTACCTGCAAAATTCGACACCATGATCTATCCTGTGCAGAGCTATCCACAGATTATAACCTTACCTTAAGCTATATATGTAAAGCGTAGGCATGTGGATTCTAGCTCAATCCACATTTACACTTGTGCCCCACCCATAAGGTAATATCTTTATGCAAATATTACAAATTGTTAAGAAAGATTTTAATTCTGCAATTCCTTGCCCTAAGCATCATTGGATAAGTGATATTTATCCTGTCTCTCTTAGACTGAAAAAAAAAAACATAGAACACAGTGTCTACTTTCTACCAAATGTGCAAATCTCCATTGTGTTGGGCCCTATGTGGGATCTACATGCTAAGATTCAGGGCTATATGGTGTGTCTTCTCAGGACTGACTGAAATGAGCATGCTGGGCCTGGAAACTGTGGGTGAAGTCAGTCACCACTGAGAGGAGTCCCAGCCCTCATACCTTCTCAGTTCACAGAGATAGAGATCTGAGGATCTGACACCTATCATTTATAAAGTGTTTCCATGGGAACATGGGCTCTGTTCTCATCCATGTTGTCATGCAGCTGCCTCCTATTGGTGAGCCTGTCTCCACTGCCCCACCCTGCCACATCCTAGTTGATAAGAAGTTCAGGAGAGGAGCCATTGCCTGGAGAGAGCCTCTCACTGGTGCTAAAAGAGAAGCTCATGTCTCTTCTTGCTTGAATGATCCTTGCTTTCATCTTGATTTCCAAATCCAGAAATTCCCACAAGTCCTCCAACAAGACCCACAACTACAGGAAGACCCACAACTATTTCAACAAGATCCACACATGAACCAACATCAACCAGAATCTCTACCTCTACTCCTTCAACACCAGCACACACACAGTCGCACAAACCAGGTAAAACCCAATGTGTATCAGGGCCCAGAGTCCTTCTTATAAGGGACAATAGGGCACAACGAATGATTCAAGTAAGAACCATAATATTTGTGAAGAGTTCTCCCAAATAACAACCACAAGACCTGTGATTTTCCAGGCTCAAGCTGTATTCACCCTCTTTTGTGTAACAGTTTGCAGATGGAGGACACCCGTCTCTATCAGATCCCCAGGGGACTCACTAGTAGCCAAATGTAGGTGGATCATTGACCTAGGATAGCTGATGAGGATGGTGGGAATCTGGTCGAGATGGATATGACTTTCGGATGAAGAAACAAGGAATGACTGGTAACTAGGGTCACTGTGGATCCTTTATGTCCATTCTGAAATTGTCCCACCCAGCCGAGACCACAGTTCAGTGAAGCTAACGGTTAGTGTTTGCTTTATAATACAGTGTTCATTCTCAGACAATTGTCTGATATAGCTGAGGTCTGTCCCTATTGCATAGTGACAGGAACCAACACAGAGTCAGAACGTTGGTGGAGGCCATGAAGCTAGAATGTGGCTGAGACTCTGTCCCTGTTCACTTGACTTGGAAACTGGTTCTTCTAACTCCAGGGCCAGGCCTCCTGTTGTGGACACAGATATTTGGAGACTTTGTCCTGTTTTCACATGCTTACAGGAAATGGCTTCAGAACACCTCCCTTTAAAAAGAAGCCTTGTATAGTTTTGTTTTAAGTATCTTTTAATTCACTCGTGTACCATGAAAAGTACAAAATATATCCTTGGTAGGGGTGAAAAAACATCAGATTTGAAGGCTTTTGGAAATCACTTAACCTGCCCATGCTTTTGAGTGAGGCTATGAAGTTCATAGTTCAAATAGCCTAGAGGTAAGAATTCAGATTCAATATTAATGGGTAGCAATGTGACTTACAAATGGGAAAAGCTTGTCATCCTGAAGGCAAGGTTAGGACAAACCTTCTACATCTAGGAGTGAAAGGATCTATGTTCGAGTGGTTCTCAAAGCTTCCTAAAAAACCCATTCATGCTGTGACATCCATGCTATGTCTCCATTCTGACCAGCAGAAGAAGCCTCAGAGCTCTTTGTGATAGCAGAAACTGATGGGTGGTACTGATTCCCCTCACCTCTCTTGGCCTGCATATACATTCAAGCAGCAGAGCTCTGAAGGACTGGGCGACAGGCCGAGCTTGCAGAGGCCCCTAGGCTTTACCTAGGATTTTAGAGCACAGGATTTGTGGGAAAACCCACTTTGTTCCAGGCAGCTGCACACACTAAGAACTCTGAGACTCTCTCAGGATTGACAGAACTTTTCAGTTCTTAGCTTTTGGTGCTTTGGAGGATGAGCTCCTGGGCTGAATTTGGAGAACATGGATAAGTTTCTGACTTTATTGAAACCTGAGATTTAGAAAAGAAGTGTTGGCTCATCTGTCCATAGGACCTCTTGGGAGTGGAATTAGTGTAATCTAGTTTTTGTATTGTTAGTTTCCTAAAGAGTTGTAGTTGTGGGTTGATTGTACAGCTCAGAGAGAAGGCAAACATTCAGGTTATTGTAAGAAAAGGGCACACATCTTCAAACCCACTTCTTGTGTTCATCCCAGCTACATTAAATTCTGTTCATGGAATATGCTATGTGAGGGCGTAAGAGGAGTGGAAAAAGTGACCATGGCTGGGGAAACAAGCTAAGCTCACCATGCCTTTTACCAAGAACTAAATGGCTGGTGTGTGACCATCTAACATCTGTGTTGTCCCGTTTTTAATTTAGAAGGATGGCCACATCCTTTTTGATGCTTGAGTGTTAGGTTAAAACAAAACAAAAGAACTGAGCAGGGGGCATGGCTTACATGTGAGCACCAGGTTGTAGTGAGGTAAGTTGTCCAGAAAGACCACTGAGGGTTTCTGAGGAAGCTCAGCTGTAGGAATTCCCGTGTGACTGCATACAACTTCCTCCAAGACTCTCAGTCATTCTGAGAAGGGAAGATTTATTGGACTCACAGAGAGGCAAGTGCTCAGCTCTTCAATGTGAATTGTGTCATTGTTGGGAAAATGTAGGGACTCCAGGAAGAGAAAGGGAAATACAGGCTGCACTAGAGAGTTCCATGTGGAAGCCTTTGGAACTCTCTCCAAAGCCTTGGAGAAACGGATGATGAATCAGATAATGGGAAAGTATTCTTAGTAAAGGAATGGGAGGAGGATCAGAGAGTGTGCTTCAGTCAGTCAGCACTCACTCACTCACTCACTCAACCAACTAGTTAGTAAAGACGTGTTTGTTTTCACAAAGAGAGGATAAAGGAGAATTCCAGAAGTCAAGGCAGGTTGCAGGACAGGAATCATCATCAGAGTGAAACAGCTACCTTGAGAAGGCCTCTGAGATGGATCAGTGTAACTACTCCACATAGTTCAGTGAGCATGTGTCCCTGCAAAGAAGTGGGAATAATCTTGACCTGGAATAAGGCCTTTAGTGAAGAGGGTAGTGAGAAACTTCAGGCCCTTTCCTAGAGAGTGAAACACTGTTTGTCTTAATCCTGATCTTAACTGAGTGTCCTATTCTCTGAGTGTTAGTGTTGACTGTATGTTCCACAGGTGTTCATGCATCTAGAATGGAAAGTGTGAGATAACTCTGAATACTTATAAAGTTTTCTAGACTATTAGATCTCACTTGCTCAGGATAGTGAAACAACTACAGACAGTGGCCATCTTTGGATATATTTCTAAGAGGAGTCAGCAGATGCAGAGTGAGTAGGAAGGAGCCCTTCCTGCTTCAGAAGGTTGGGGAGGCACTGTGGGAGGGTGATGGTAAGTTTTGGGTTAAGTGCAGTTTCCATTTTCCTTGGTTGGTGAGAACCTCCTTCACAGCTGAAATAGTTCTTCCATTGTTCTCATTCCAGAAGCCACTACATTTCATCTAGATCAGACAACAGCTGAGGTGACAGAAACCTCATCCTATATTCCTGCAGGTAATTATGTTTGCCTTCTTGAACCTCATGACATGTCCAGATCTTGATAAAACTGATGTTGAAAAGGGCACAGTCTTTGAAACAAGACAGATCTGACTTTGTAAATAAATGGTGGTAGGTTCAGAGGAACAGCTTCATGCTACTCCACACAGCAGCCTGAAATGGTTCCTTCTCCAATATGGACCTCCATTTATCCAGAACTAAGCTATATGGCTTCTTCATGGGAAGATAACATCAGGGAGATCCGATGTGATGGAGTGTTAAAGGTTTATGAATATATATTTAACTCAGATCCCAAGCACAGGGATCTTTATGAAGAGAGATGCTTAGGAAAGGAATATGACATACTGTGGCATGAGTAAGGGTTTCTTCTATTAATTTCCCATTAGTATATACACTGAGCATATATGTGATGTTGGTGCCTCTCAAGTGGAGCCCTGGAGGTTACCCAGAAGTTCACCCCCACACCCCACTCCCCATGACTATTTTTGAAGCAATGTTTCAAGATGTAGCTTACAGAAAAATCATCTTTAAATAATTTGTTTCCTAAGCAATGTGGTGGCATAGACTTCTGAGAGATATTTGTTTACATTCAGGAATGGGAGAGAAGGGCAATGTTCTATATCATTTGACCCTCAACAAAGTTGACTTTGTTTATTCCTCATGCCAACTTGGTTCAAGATATCTGTGTACAGCATAGGTTGCTTCCATAGAAAAGTCTGCCTTTTATCAATGATTCCTGAAGTTATCAACTCTATCCACAGAATAAGAAAAACAGCCACCCTCTTGTCCATCCTTTGGGAAAAGCCATTTTCCCATCCCTATGCATGGGTTTGCCTTCTATGAACTATTGATTGCTCCTGTGTTTCTATCCTGATTGATTTCTCTCTTAGATAAGAGTTGTATGACTTACAGAAATGTCCACTGTCTCTGAGTCTGTTCCATTATTCATTCAATGAATATAATGCTACTTGTTTTATAAAATCATTTTATTGCAATGAATTTTACAGGATACTGTGGCTATTAAGTGTGATGAAGACCTTGGGTCGTATTTTCGAAGGGAGCGAGTGATAGATACAGTAACAGATATGCCACTACAATTACTCACAGTACCTGAGCTCTAGAGGCCTGGTCTAGGGACCTGCTATGACTTGCAAACATCTACTTTTATGTGTCTCTTTTAAAAACCAAATGACTCAGTTTGATCCCAAGCTCATCACCAGGCTTGAGTCTTTGGGTCTTAAAACAGCCCTGTCTTGTCTACACTAACCTTGTCACTAAAACTTCCTTCACTATAGTCAGTAGTCTCCTTGTCTGCTTTGACAATCTTGAGTTCACATGGGCCATCTGAGGTTGTATTCTGATCTGAACATTTGTGTCTCTATAATGGTTTTGTTAATATTTAATTTTCAATGAAGTAGATTAAGAACTGGAAGTATCTGAAAGGCCATTAGATTCTAAGAGTAAGATGTTCATGTATGGTATTAGATCATTTATAAGAGGGATGAAGGGCCTTCTCCTTCACTTGGGGATACACAAAAAGTACCAGCTATGAAAAAAGAACTTTGACCATCTACCCAGTCAACTTGTGTTCAGATCTGGGACTCCAAGCCTTTAGAACTATTTTGTTCTAAAAAGTTAAGGGAAAATTTACCAAGATGAACTCTCAATTCTGAACATCTATCCTCCAAATGAAAGGGCATCCAAATTCATAAGAGAAAACTTACTAAAGTTCAAATCACACATTGCACCTCACAAAATACTAGTGGGAAACTTCAACATCACACTCTCATCAATGGACAGATCATGGAAACAGAAACTAAACAGGGAAAGAGTGAAACTAACAGAAGTTATGGACCAAATGGATTTAACAGATATCTATAGAATATTTCATCCTAAAACAAAAGAATATACCATCTTCTCAGCACTTCATGGTACCTTCTCCAAAACTGACAATATAATCTATCACAAAACAGGCCTCAAAAGATACAAGATGATTGAAACAATCTCATGCATCCCATCAGATCAACAGGGACTAAGGCTGGTCTTCAATAACAACAAAAACAGCAGAAAGCTCACATACACATGGAGGCTGAAAAATGCCCTACTAAATGACAACATCATCAAGAAAGAAATAAAGAATTAAAAAAATAAAAAGAATTTAGAACTATTTGTTATATAGAAACTTAAGTGGACTAAGGTGGGTTGAGTACACCAACAGCAGCACCCTAAGAGACTTGCAGCCCCGAGATCCCAAGACTCACACATTGTGAATCCTCGGTCTCACTGTTCACACTTTGGATGGATCCTATACTATCTCCTCTCTTTAAACCTATAGAGATGGTATGACTTTGCTTGATCAAATAAGGTGATGCTGAACTCTGCCATCCATCCCAGCTAGCTCTTACAATAGTTGTACATTTTGAGAATGGCACAAGCTGACCTTTGTGTTTCAGAGTTGGGTAATTTGCCCTTGAGGAGCATCCAAACAAGATCAGGCCTTCCAAGATTCTGTGTGTGCACATTTGTAGCTTAATATTCTCAGGAGATGATTATCTGTGGTTCCCCCAACCCCATGTGGCCTACCTTTTCCCAGGCATTTTTGGGCACTAGTTAATTTAGTTACATGCAGTGATCTCATAGAGTCCAGAAGATATAGCGACCTTGGCTTTTGAAAATGAAATCTTAAGTATGAACACTTTTCAGGCAGAAAAACAAAATTAAAATAGTTTAAAAAAACAAAAGAAAGCAGCAGCCATCTGCCAATGTTGCTGGGTGTGGGGAAGATAGAGGGAGCAGGGGAGGGAGATGATTCTTGATAGCTGTGCCTGCCCAGAATCTTATATACCATTTCAGTGATTATTTCATGGTAATTTATGTCACTGCTAAACTGAGGAAACTCTATAATTCTTTGGAGACACAAACTTTTCAATTTATCCACCAATGCTACATACATTTCTTTTGACAAGCGGTTGAATATTTCTCATTAGACATATGATATTGTTAAAGTGAACTCCACAGTATTCACTCTCTTCCTCGCTGTTCCTTCACATAACAATAATGACGTCACCTGTGTTTTCCAATCCAGTGTTGAATGCTCAAGCATGCATTCTGAAGTGCTTCTGTCAGGACCTTGTGGACGGAGGTCACTTTGCTAATGGACATGATTGGCACTGAATTCAAATTTTGTCTGATTCAACTTCACATTACTGAGTCAATTACTCTGAATCTTGGAAGGTCTTGCTTAAGAGCCTAAGTGCCAAACAAGAGCCTAGGCTGTAGATGTTGCCTAAACCTAGTCATTGCCTTTGGCTCCTTGAAAGGGCTCTCCCAAGGAGTAGAATGTAAATTCTGGAATGTGTGACTAGAGGAGGGCTATGAGTCATCCTAAGGGCAATGGCAACTTTAGTGGTTGTTAGGGACTTCCATAGACCTGCAGTATTTCCACTCATTGTAAGGATATTGTGTGTGTGTGGGTGGGGGGGGGGTTGCCACAGAGTTGTCTGTTATTTGTAAAATGTAGAAATATATAATCATCTGATATCTGCTTCTTCATATATAAATGCAGTTAAGGGAATTCTTGTCAGAATGTTATAATCCTTATGTGTGCCAGATACTGCATGAAAAGAGGATTCTGTATTTCGTTCATAGACACATAGAAACAAGAAACAGTGAAAACAATGCATTTCTTGTTACAAAATAGACATTTTAAAAACACTTTATCTAAGTGTTCCAAACTTGCTGCTTAGTGACTCTCCTTCCATATTAAATCTTAATCCTCAAAAGGTGTAAGACACATTGGCCTTGTGAATATTATTTACAGATGTAGTAAAAAATAAATCTAAATATTTATATTTGTAACTAATTTTTCCTCCCTTTGACCAGCTTGGAATAACACTGTGCCATCCTCAGATGACTCTTGGAATAATAACACTGTAAGTATATTCCTCCCTAAGTTATTAGCCATGTTCCCTTCTATATCTTGCAGGAAGCATATTGTATTTAAGAACTGTGTCTATAATATTAGTTCACAGACATTTGTGTCAAAAGAGAAGTAGAAAAACAAACAAAAAAAAGGGTCAGATATAGTGGTATAGGTATATTCCTTAACTTTAGAACTGAGAAAGTTAATTCAGAAGTTTGATGCCAGCCTGGACCACATTGGCTTCTGTAGTAAGAACCTATCTCAAAAAATGTAGAATATATATA